TTGACATGACCGGATGCTATCTGCCTGTCTAATTATCATCAGTCCCCCCTACTATTGGAAATATCAGATGGATCAATTTAAGTAGAAGAAAAATGCTGATAATTTCTATGAATATTCGAGGCATAAACTTTTTTCCATGCATGTTTTATGGACTTCATGTAATATTCGTTACATTTGTGACAAAATAAAGTTCTTGCAAATCAAAGATGTCTTCATCTGGGTTGTTGTGTTTCCTAGAATTCTTTGTATTAGTTAACAATAATTCTCCCCAAATTCCAATAGTCTTACCCAACATAAAGCCATCTTTTACTTTTTATCACACCACAATTAAGGAAGCCACCGTATGCACGAGGTAAAGTGTCTGCGCGTTATTATAACTGCTACTTAAATTTTCACCACATAGAACATGCATTATTCTTTCAAACACGCAACTTCTTCGGAATTCAACGAGTTAGAACAATAAAAACATATTGCGTACTCTTGATGACGTATTTAGAGTGTAAATCTTACGTTTACTTTTTGCTTTTGACCATCAAATGAAATAATAATAGAGGAATTAGTATTTATTTACACATAAATTTTATATTTTATACTTATAAAAAATTTTATTTATTTATCCTTTCATTTTTAATAATTAAATTTTATTTATATTTATTAAAAATAGTTATTTTTTTCTAAAAAATATGATAAATCTCAATTATTAAAAATAATTAATTAATTAAAATTTTATGTAAATATAATATATAAAATTTATGTGTAAATAAGTTACTCTTCATAATAAAAATATATAAAAATATATGTCTATGTATATCTATGTTATAAATAATTATCTTACCAGTTATAAAATAACCTAGATTATAAATGACGTGATATTATCTCCACCTTTTAAAGAACATTGCAGGTAAATTAATATAAATTCCTTAGCTTGAAGACAAAAACAGTTAATAATTGTTCCTTAGAATCTAATTAAACAAGTTGAGAGCTATAATCTATCCCCTTGAGAAAAACTGGGTTAATGATATTCCATAACGTAGGTAATTAACCACTCTTTGATTCCTTCAATTCTTCCCATTTGCGTCTAGAAGATGATTCTCCAATGTCCAAATCATGATTAGTCTCTTTCAATGTCACTTTTCCCAGCTAACCCTAATTGTTACCCAAAGGTTGGATTTGGGGACGAACTTTAGGTCTGATGATTCCCATCTAGGTATATTCATTTACTCCCAAAGTCAACACCGGCCTCGCTCTGGGCCATCAGAAAAATCTCCTTTAAAATCTTGACGATTTTAAAGAGGTTCCCCTTTTTCAACAGTCATCAATGATGCTTTCAGACTTAATTAAATTTACGTAGATTAAAAGAAAAGTCATAGTCGACAACTCTAGCTAATCAATTTGCCATCGCAAGTTGCCGCATAAATTCAGACTCTTGACTTCTATTAAGTAGGTGTAGGATATTCTATAGTTGCATGTGTTTGGTCGGGACAGTGGTTCTTTTTCCCTTCATTTAAGAAATTATAAGAGTTATGAGAATGAAGTTAATCAGTTGTATTTTAAAAAAATGATGAAGTAAAATATTTTAAAATTATATTATTTTAATAAAATATTATTGAAAAAAAAAACCCAAACAATCTCTTTTTTTTTAAAGTTATTATATGTAGTCTTTTTAATAGAATATTAATGAGACAACATAATTTTAAATATTTTTCTTCATAAAAAATTTTAGAGATTTAATTAAAGAATAAATCTTAATTTTTTCCATTTTAGATTTTTTTAATTAATCAAAGAAAATTTTTATTATTTTAGAGTAAAAAGCATACTTTGAGCATAAATAAATGTCTCACTTTATCTTTGTGCAAACAAAGCAACATATTTTTTTAAAAGGAAATATATGTTTTTAGCTATTGGTTTTTTTAAGTTAATATTTTTACCCTTTTTTTTAATACAATTCTGGACAAGTAATATTTTCTTTATATATATTTTATTTTATATATATATATATAAATCCTCTCTAGCCATTTCAATATAACAGCTATTTGACAAAAATTTTCACCTATTTTTCTAATAGTAACTGAACAATGCTAACAGTTGACTACATGGTTCCATAATATTTTAAAGTTGGCTTTTGCGTAGTCGAAAAAGATAACTGAACAAAATTTCACCACAAAATGTTATTAATTTTCTTGTTATACAATATTTTTTTTACTTTTTATATAATATTTTTTTATTAATTTTTAAAGATATTAATTAATATATTCTTTTATTTAATATATTGTATAATATGTTTATTAAAAAATTATTATTTTTTAATATAAAATTAAAAACATATAAATTTAAAAATATATTCATATATATATATGTAATATAATAATTAATTAACTTGATTATATTTATATTATATTTTAATAAATTAATTAAACAAATATAAAAAAATATATAAAACTAAATAATATATCAACTATTTTGCTTACCTTAAAAAAGTGATTATTGGAGAAAGATCGAAGTCCTACATAACTTATTTTTAAAAAAAAAGGGAAAAGAACTTATCTTTCGTTGCGTCATGAAACAGTTTTAAAGTACTGTTAAATTGTTTTCAATATTAGTTTTGTAAGTTTAATTTATGGTCAAATGATCTCAATGAATATTCAACATATAAAATGAAAAAAAAAGAAAAGAAGAGTAATTAAGTAAGGAATATAACAAATAAAAATTGTTGACGACTCATTGATTTTAATGGTTATTTAATGTAATTGTTGATAACCAGGCTCCAGGCATTTAGAATTCAACGTGTTTCGAAGGGGAGGCAACAAGGTCGAGCATCCATGGCACGTGGAGCTTGAATGGGTGGTGAAGAAGAAGCGTGGGTTGAAATGGTGAAGCACAAATATACTTTCTTTCTTTTTTTCATTAAATTATAAATTATATAATAAAAAAATAACTCTCTCATTCCAA